AAAAAAATTTAAAGAAAACTTCTGCTTTAGAGGAGAATTACCTCGCGACATGTTGGAAGAGGAAGAATTTTTCATAAAGAGAAAGGAGGACATCGAAAAGGAAACAGAAAAACTCACAAAGGATATCTCGAACATACGTCATCTCTTGCATAATCCTTTCGAAGAGGTACGGATCACAGTATGAATTCAGTCTGGGTAGCACGGTAATACCTTCAAGCGCATAGCACCTCCTTCGCTAGGCTGAGCGAATAAAGTGTCTAATCAAATTCTACCGCAGTACTACGCCAACCGTAATCTAGTGGGGGAAGAAGAACGCGAAAATCATCGTCACGCCGAAGTTAGCCATCTCCAGATGCTCCAACATCGTGCGCAGGAAATGATCGGCTCGAAAGAGTGTGTAGTGAGCCAGTTACTCAGCGCAAGATGAGTTGCCTAATTTGGTTTTGCAGGAAGCGTAAGCGATCCATATTCGGGAAACGACAGCAGCAGAAAAAGAGTACGCATCAAGGGCTCATCATGGCAGCTATGGGTTCTCTTGGTGTACATGCAGTTGAAGCTGGAGTTCGAGAGCCTAGTATGTAATGACATTGTTAGAGGACTATGGGTCGCACCTAAGTTTTAGGTTCACCGTTCGAGGAGGGGATTACTAAGCAGCATCGAGATGACCATGCCTTATTCACGATAAGAGAACAAGCCGAAAACGGAAAGTAGATGATTTTTTTAGCTAGTTTCTCCTGTTCATGTGTCTGACTTGGAAGTGCTCCTATGTATGTACAGCAAATTCATTCTTTGTACTCAAATCTGTCTTGCCTATATCTTCTCTTAATAGTTCACCTTGTGTGTCTCCACATTTAGCAAAGTCTCGATGTAATAGTTCCCTTTCCTCACTGAAATTTGCTATCTGCAAACATGGCCCTAATAATTCGGAACGGCGTCGTCGTCTTCATTTATTGGCGCTCTTTTTAACCGCCCCACTGACAGCGCCCAAAGTCAACTATCGGAGGCGCTCATTTCGGTTATGTTGGAGATGTAGCAAGAGAGTTGAAATATGGAACCATCATACATACATCAAACGCTAGAGTACTTCACTTCCATCGATCCCTTGCAACTACAGCTTCCCCATGCCCCATGAACACAGCAATTTTGTTCATTACAGCGAAGTGATGATGCAAAACAGCAGGGAGCCCATGAGGTCGCAGGCTTCACATTTTTTCCTTGAATAGTGTAATCTCCCAGAAGGTCGCTTTGCACACAACTTACGCTGTAGTGAAAACTGTGTAGAGGTGCAAAGAAGAGTGGGGCTGCTTATTTATGAATGATGCAGCTTTTCAAATGGAAAATGATCTGAAAATGCGATAATTGCAAGATAAGTGAATGGTAGTAAATACATAAGAATTTGGATAAAGAGATATTATATTCTCCTTCCAGAAACCCATAAACAGCATCACTGAAGCAAAATTTTTTCAGGGAACGAGTTAACAAGTTGGGTCGTTAGACCGTGCTCTCAAAGTATGGCATTGTACACTTCCGCAACATATGGAAAATTTGCTAAATGAACTTCTGAATTCCGTACGCGAGCTATATATATTTCTCTTATGAAAATGGAGGTATTCATCCCAAGTTTTTGAATATTTGTCAGATCAAAAGTGCACGTTTCCTGTGCCATTATGCTTTTGTACTATGCAAGACTCTGGGCGATTCCATTTGTCATCGGAGGCATACATATTTAGTTTGGATCCGTTTTTTCTAACCATATGAAATAAGGAAGCAGGCAAAGGGTTGTGCACGCCGAATGAGACCACAAGGAAAGCTGCAACTCAAGCGAAAACAAACCATGCAAAGCAAAATGATGTCCTATGATTGTGACAGCAAAGTGAACTACAAATGAGTAACGACCGAGTTTTGCGCTTATATCTCAAAGGAATGCCCGTTATAATGCGGCTATGGAATCAAGTCAATATTTCCCCTGTATCGCTCCGTTGCGTTTTGTACCATAGGAAATGGCTGACATCTATAAACATTCGCGAGAAAAAAAA